CTGTCCCTCCAAACCTTTGCGTCGTTGCCATTTCGGTGCCGACGCCCCTCACAGGCAGGGATCACTGCTTCACAGGTATCACAGGTATCACAGCTCCAGCCGCAGGTTGCTCAGCGCATGCAGCAGCATAGCTGTCAAATGTGTGGACAATGCAATCACATGCCAACTCTGCAGGGATTATTCCCACCCACAGAAGCCAGAAAGAGGCATGAGATTTTATTTTTTTTTTTCTCTACTTCTTTAAACACCATCCAGCTGCTCTCCACCTAGGGAAAGACTCAAAGCAATGTGAGTTGATAAAGTCTGGTTCCCTGGGACTGCGTGGCTCCTTCACTGACAACCGGTTCATCTTCTGAAGGACGGCCGGTTGGACACAGTGCGGAGGAGCACAGTGGAGCCTCGGGTCAATGCATTGTCAACTCGCTGGTCCACTTTCAACACCTCTTAACACCGCGCTTGGAATTCAACCCTGTGTGATGGAAGCTGCACCGCTTCTCTGATACCTCGCCAATTGAGAGGGGCTCAGGTAATGGCTAGAAAAAGGAAAGCAGGAATGTTCCCAAATCCGGAGTGAAAGCTGCTAAAGTAATGGTTTTAGAAGAACCAGCAAGTCTCTTCAGGGCTGCTAATCAGTGAGAGCCAGGACAAATCTGGAATGGCTTAGACGGAGGCCAGGAGCTGCACAGACCAGAGGGAAGAAGATGAAGACTAAGCAGATTTTTACTTTAGACATTTGCACTTTCCCTCTGGCGATCCGGTACATGATGACCTATGAGCCAAAAGATAAGCTGCATAGCTACTTATCTAGCAAGACGTATGAGGCTTTTGGCCACCTAAATATGTAGCCAAAAGATGGATCAAATGCATCTCTACATATAGTGAAACTATAATCTTAAAGTTGCTGATATTATTATTATTATTATTATTTTTTTGTAATTTAATTCAAAAAGTTAAACTCATAAACATGGATTGTAATTTAAGCATTTAAGTCTGATGATTTTTGTATGGCTTTCAGAAAAATACAAAACCTAAAATCCAGTCTCAGAGGAAATTAGAGTATTGCTAACATCAAAAATAGTTTATGTTGGGCAGATTCTGGACTTGACAGCTGTCCAGAGCAGGCGGTCACTGACCCTCTTTTAAGGGTTAAGCCATTAAAGGTCACTGCTAAAGAAGTTGGCTGTTTAATCTTTGGGAAAGTTGAGTGGAAGAAAAATGTGTGCACAAGCTACATGGATAACTGCTGTCATGAGAGGATTATTAACCGAAGCATAACTAAGAGCCTGGGGAGATTTACAAGCTGTTAACTTGTAAATCTGCACACAGATTCATCTAGGACATAAGCTACAACTCTCACATTTCTTATAATAAGCATCTTTACTGGCCTAAGAATAAAACAGACGAGAAAGCTAATTTGTTCTCCAAAGTAATCTTTTTAGATGAAAAAAATTTCTGATTTCACTTGGAAATCAATTCAGGTGCTGAGCATGGACTGGTAAAAAGCTCTGGAGATGCTGATTTCATTTTCCATCAGTTTGGCACCTGCCCACATTGCAGCAAGTGCTGAAACTTCCTTTCACTGCCCTTGTATCATTGTGCTTAAATGGTCAGTAAACTCGCCAGACCTAAACTCCAAAGCTAATCTGTGGAGTACTGTCATGATGAAAATGAGACACACGCAACAATGCAGACAAGCTGAAGGTGCACTGAGTGCATGTGATGTACAATGCATGGACATCTCGTTCGAAATAGAAATAACCAGCAGAATTTACTTGAAATCAATAACTGTGTGAAATAAAAGTACATATGAGTTCACCTCTTTTAAAATTAATGACAAAGAATTGATTTTTAATGGTGGTCTAAATGATTGAAAAGCAACTGAGAAGTGTAGCTTTGGTGCTGAAAACAGAATTTTAAATTACATACCCGTCAAAACATCAAAATCCAATGGTTTTTTCGTTGAGGTTACCAGCCATCATAATCTACAAAAACGCTTTGAAAAATCCGAATTAATATGAGTTGCGACAGCATTTAATTCCCTTTGGGATCAATAAAGTATTTTTATATTGTAATGTTTGAGTAAAAGTAGACCTTTTTTTTTCCCAGTAGAATCAATTGTTATCTGGGAAGGTTTTACAAAATGCTGGTCTCCATCATTTTGCCAAAAGAAAAGTGAGTCACAGCTTGCCAGTCTTTTCTAGCTGAAAGTGTCAGATAGATAATTCCGACTTCAAACAGCCCTCACTTAGCATGAGAAATGTTTAAATCTACAGCAGTCCAATTAGAAAAGACAGAACAAATATAGCCTGATTGGACCGCTTGCCAGGATTATGTGTACTCTGTAAAAAGGCAACATGGCAGGATAAACTTGGTAAACAAAACGTAATGTGAATAAATGTAATGATTTGGATTTGGTTTGCAGCAAAGAGAGGGAATGAGAAGGACAGACCCAGTTTGACCCTGGATCCATGATGAGCTACTGAGTCAGCAGCAGACATGGGGTTTACCACAAGAGCAGAAGATCCAGAATGAAACATTTTCTGCAGCTGTCTCTTATAAACCGCTGAAACTGACTTCTTAAAGACCTGCCCATCTGTCATCTCTCCTGGGGACGTGGGCCGCCCTTCTCTGGCAATACACCACAATGTATCCATAAAGGAGCTGGGTATTGCATCTGATACGCATAGTTACTGCACTAGCTATCGAAGCATCTTCAGAATAACCAAGCGAAAGCTTGATTTCCTTCTATGTAAGCTTGGTGTAGTAGAAATGACTTATAAGGCTCAAATTATACGAACGCACTCTACGGCACTATTACTTTCTTCAATTTACTGGGGACGTAGGTGTTGCCAGAGGAATTTTAGTGAGACCTAACCCTGAGAATGAAAGCCAGATAGTGACTCTGATATTTGACCATCAGCCAGATACTCCTCTCCAACACCCCAGAGAGGAAGTGGGATCCCTAGATAATTGAAACACGCTTACTTGCGTGTCCTTGAGCATCCATTATGTTATGGTGTTGAGTACTCGCCTTATTGTCTGCTTAGTCATGACATCCCACGCTTATCTAAGGGTTACCTTCAGTTCATTTATGTACTGGGTATGAATGTATGACCTTCTAAATAATCACTAAATAGATGCCAGAAGTTTTTTAAAAGGATTACATCTGGAGAAAGTGAAACATCTTCATCTGAGGAACACAAGTCTTCAGGAGTCATTCCCTGAGCCTGTGACTCAGTAGGTTTGGGTAGTCATCCATGAAGAAGAAAGTCGACCTCAGTCACTCTTGCGATGTCACAATAATTAGATGAATGGTTTTATCCAGGAACTATTACTTTTTTAAACTACCATTCATAAGGTACATGGCATTTCAGTGTTGACTGGAGTCTAGTCAGTGTTGCAGTCTGGGTGGTTGAGTCCAGTCACTCTCGGCCAAAGAGTGTACCACCGCCTCCTCCCTTGGCTCATTCAGTGGCGACAGTAACTGATGCATGGCATTCTCCTTGACAAGTCTTGGTGGTTTTCTATTCTGCTCAGTAGAAATCTGCTTTCTTCAAATTGCTGTACTGAGGCCCATTGGTTCCTCATCCAGAGCAAATGCTCACTGACACATTCAAGACGAATGCTGTGCCAATTACTATGGAAGGTCTTCTCACATAGAGACCAGCCTGACGTAAGCAGGGGCTTTATATGGGAGGATGTGACACTCCAGAGTCTTTCACCTCCCTTTGGATTGTGCCTGGAGTTAAATAGCATTTACCATCTGGCTCCACAGGGCACAGTTACTAAGGAAGCTGTCATCAACATCGTATATGGCCAAAATGCATCCACTTCTATGTCTCTCTGTGAATCTTCCAGACTCTACGCGTCTCTGCAATCTGTTAATGACACTCTGTGACAGTTCGGTGGCGTCTTCCCTCAGAGAACATCCTGCCTGAAGGCTCACAATACTCAGGAACTGCTTATTGACCGTTGGGTGTCGTCTTGATGCTATCTGGCCAAAATTTGGACAGCTTACGGATGAAGAACCTTCTGACTGTGAGTTGTCATTGATCCCAAAAATGTAGTGGTTGACACACACCTCAGAAAAGTTAAAAAGAAAAGAACTGAATAAAATACACAGTTTTGCAACTGAGTGCTGGAAATCTGTGCCTTTAGACGTGATTTTCTATTAGAAACATTTGCTGTGCAGTAAGCACGGAAACACTGAAAAGACATGTAGATTTAGAATTTAGAGAAGGCCTAAAAAAGATCATCTGTAAAGGTTGTACAGCATTTTATGTTACTGTAAAATTTCATAAGAAAAGCCAGATAGATAGATAGATAGATAGATAGATAGATAGATAGATAGATAGATAGATAGATAGATAGATAGATAGATAGATAGATAGATAGATAGATAGATAGATAGATAGATAGATAGATAGATAGATAGATAGATAGAAAACAACAGCATCTATAACACGTCCATACTGTATGCATGCATGCGTGTGTTAGAGTATTTTTTTATGTAAGTGGGATGGGTTTGATCAATATTTTTACAAGCGCTTATAGAAGCCTATTGCAGGAACGGAAATAGTTTAAGGAGCTCCAAAAAAATAAATAAATAAAAAATAAAAAAGCAGCTCAACGCCCTCATTTCCAAAGGAACCTTTCCAAACTTTTACATTCGCAGCCCATCATCATTTTCACACCTCTGCTGACGCTTCACTTCGCTACATCAGCTGTGCATCCTTAGTAAGATATTAACCAAGCAGATCAATAACACTCAAGGGCAACGAGCCCGCCTGTGGACACCGAGTTTTAGCACCAGGACTCGTTCATGTCGCACACAGTTAAACACACAACAACAAGCATCCGTGCGTTCCGTAAACGCCACATTCTGAGCCAGTTGAACTCCTGTGCCTCGGACTGACACACAGCATAAAGCCCAATAGGAGCTCATCGTTTGGAAATAATAAATAAATAAATAAATAAATAAAAGACAGTTGGAGACTTACTTTAACACGGCGCTGTCCCCCTGCCTCACGGTGATGTTGTCCTTCAGTGCAGAGTCCCCGCTCCTGGCTGGAACTCCTGCAGGTACAAGGAGCAGCAATTTAAGTCCGAGGACGACCAGGAATTTCCCAGGCTCCGCCACGTAGCCACACATTCCCATGTTTGTTTGTTTGCTTCTTTCTTTCCCCTCTTGCTGTCACTGCGCAACTTCCAGAAAATAAGAAGAACCACCACCACAACAACAAAAAAGACCCCCCAAAAACTTAACGCGGTCGTATATATTCCTTCTGCGTCCTGATCAGCCTCTCCGCTCCTGGCACACGCTGTGGCGCCGGAGAGATGCGTTCTGTCCGGCTCTCAGCAAGACCACCGCGTTTCTCGGAGAAATGCGCGCCCGTCTCCTCTGCTCCCGACTGTAATCTCTGTGAAATGGATGCTGAGGCACAGATGCATCAGCCTGAGCTCCTGTACGTTTCCCTCCCCTCCCGCGGCGTCCTTTTCTCTCGGTCGTCGGGGTGAGTCGGTGGGAAGCTGAGAGCATTCAGAGCAAGCGGCTGAATCCGCTCACTATCCTTTTTTAATTAAGTACACACATCTCTCTCTCTCTCTCTCTCTCTCTCTCTCTCTCTGTGTGTGTGTGTGTGTTTCTCTCTCTCTCTCTCTCTCTTTTTCTCTCTCCCTTATGTCTTGGTACTCTTGCACCAACAGGACCTGTGGACATACCTGCCAATTCACAGGGGGTTTCCAAGCTGTGGTCCATGGAACACAGTGCGGTCCCTGTGTTCTGCACACGGGACACTTAAATAACTTGAAATATTGTCTGCTACTCATAATCTCGGGCTATTTCCTATCATATTCCATGACAGTTGGATCATAGCTACACCCACATTTAATCTGCATAAGCAAATATTACTGGTTGCTTTTTTCCTTGAACTCTGGAGTTCTGATGCAATGTGGATTAGAAGAAAAATAAAATCTCGTTATTTACATTTTATTTGTACTTAACTATCCAGTTAAGTTTTTAAACATCTGGCCACATTTGCTGTATAATTAGTATACTCTGGAAAAAAAACAATGGTTCAAACGCATCGCTGGACACTAAAATTGAAGATATTCAAACCCATGATGGGTGGATCTCAATTTCTGATTGGCACAGTATATCAGGGTGTTCCCTTTCAAATGGGATAACCTGCTTTTTGAAGGAGTGTTTTATATATATATATATATATATATATATATATATATATATATATTATAATATATATATATATATATATATATACACCACAACTGGGTGGGGCCGGACCCTCACGAGATTTACACCTATGTGTGGGCTAGTGGTGCGACAAAAGAAAATTGAAAAATGTTCAACTTTTTCCGCCATAATTCGAGAGCACACATTTTCAGTCCGAAAGCAGGATTACATGCCTTTTGTTCCTTTTGCTTATGTTTTCATTTTGAAAGCAGGACTTCATGTCTTTCTTCTCAAAACTTTTAATGTTCACCCAAACCTCAAACTCTTTGGTCGGAATGCCTTTTGGCGCCGTTGCCTGGCAGCCTCTCAGCCAATCGAATGAAAGTGTTGTGCCTGCGTGGCGACTATCGATTATGGCAACCTGCGCCACGCACTGGATGAAAGTTGGTTGGATGAACAAATTTATCTGAAGGGTTGTTAGCACACGGCAAGCGGATGCTCAGGGTAACATGAAGCAAAAAGCTGATGCCATTGTTTCTCCCTTCTAGCAACCTGCACCACCCACTGGATATGACATAATGTTCTTTGGAAAGCCAGTTTTAAAAACTAAAGACAGAACATGGAGGTGTAAATGTCAAATAATTTAGATTGTTATCATTTTTCAATTACTGTACATAAAAAGCTCCCAAAAGATAGTCAGACAATGCACCAAAAGAATCATTTCATGTCATTTTCAATCATCACTTGCATCGACGTGGTAGGAAGAACCTTTAGATAATGATCTGTGGAACAATTTTCCTCAGGTCAGCTGGAATGCCTTGTGTCTCACAATGGTGTGGGGGCATGGAGGCGCTTTGATCCGATTCTCTGCAAAGTGAAGGTTTTGGAGTACTCAACCAGCACAGACACAACAAATAAGTGTCAAAGAAAGAGAAAAAAAAGTGCTCACCCATTTTAGAAGACAAAACAGATTATTGGTTTATAGCGTAGTCTGACATGGAGCACACAGCCAGTTTGAGTCCTACGGTATCAGAGACACAAATGACCAGGAGTGGCTAATTCTAACTTCTGTAGCTTCTATTACAAGAAAAGGGAAAGGAAAGGGTGAGTGGACTAATAGCAACACCAACACTATCAGACGGATCCATATATCACTGAGCCCGACTCCAAGTGGCAGCTACGCAGTTATATGTGCACATGGGTTGGATGAGCATGAATGTGGCTGTGGATGGCGCAGTATCATCATGAGAGAAGTTTGTTAGAAGGTTACCGACTGATGTGGAGCAAGCATGTTAGGTGAAATTTCACAATAACTGTATTTAGTTCTTATTGAAAATGAGAGCCTCTGGCTAAATTCTCTTCAATGCAATTGCAGTCTGTTTCAAGCTAAAGGTGAGACAAAAAATAGGTTAAGGACATCTTCTAGCAAGGGTAGAGGAAGGGACAACGTTCCTGCTCTATCTCTAAACCCATCAAAAACTCTTCTCTTTTAATGACCTCGACCTACAAAGTTTGTAGCTCATAATGATGTTCTGTTTGACTGGGCAAACAGAACATTGGCCTAAGAATGGACAAACATTGTAATATTACAGTCAAATACTGCACAGAAAAATCAATTGAAATGAAATCATATTTTCCTCCCTGGTTTTTGTTTTTGTTTTCCGTTATCAGAACCTTGATTGGGATCCTTGTCACTAGGATCTACAGTGCTGTGAAACAAGTTTTTCCTCTTACATAATTCCTCTGTTTTTCTTACATGAAGAATGTTTCACATCAAGAAACTCAGAGTCAGCCCGAGCAAATACAGCATACAGTAAACAAAAGTACAATTTCATTTAAGAGAAAATGAAACCAAAATGACTCATTTGCCTTAGTTTACGATTCAAGTACACGCAAACAAAAGAAAAGCAACACCTATGAATAAACCACATGCATCATCAGAATCACTGTGATTCTGATCATTTGGTTTGTAAGGGCTGTAGAATAGTTGTGGCAAAAAATGTTCAGATTCCATGTTCAGATGTAAATGTATCCCTCAAAGCTTCAGTTTCTTCACATTTTAAATTTAAAAAAGTGCATCAAAGTTGATGTTTTTGATTGATTCACTTATTGACCAAACATTGTAGGATTCTTTCCCTTCAAATCTTAAAATGTATAGAGGGAGGAGGGGGGATCAGGCTAATCCCAGCCAGTCATGGAAAAACAAATGATTCTGATCACTGACTGAACAGCTGAGGCCTAGTTGTAATCAAAGCTACATAAATATTTGGTTACTAAATACTACATTCAAACCGTCCTTTGTTAAATTGTGACAATGACGGCAATTTTCTTCATCGTGTTGTTCCCCGGGGGATCCAATAAAAGCTTTTGAAAGAAGTGTATTGGTCAAACCTCAAATTTCAGAGACCTTCATCTCATCTAATGCATGGGGTTATATAAATGATTTTTGAATTTCACATAATGGTACTGGAATGAAAGGCACAGCAAGGCAAGTGTGTTAAGAACCATTCAGACACGAGGCAATTCAAAGCGCTAAAGTGGTTTTAGAAAAGAACACACACTTCAAAATAGAAAAACTAAAACATCACCAACATGAAACAATCACAATACCACTGAAAAAGTTTCATCAAGTCCCTACATGTGCTAAAGTAATCACTGACCTTTATGTGTAAACTTTGGTCAACAGGAATGTTTACAGACCTGATTTAAAAGAGCCAACAGTTTCTGTACATCTCAGGTTTTCAGGTTCCAGAGCTGAGCAGCATACAAATCGAATTCTATCTTCGCCTCGTCGCTTCCCCAATGTCAAGTCTCATTCTAGCCGGTTAATGTCTTGTTCAGGTCCAAGCCAGGTGGGAGTGTCTCCATTGGCAGTGTGTTCTTCACTCTAGTGGGACTGAATATAGGCAGGAACACTGGAACGTGAGCGGGCCAAAAGTGCAGCGGCATTCTGCAGTGGAGAACCTCAAAGTTGTGGTTCTGATGGACTCAAATAAACCCAGATGTTTCTCTTTGCTTTTAAAGACAAACAACCAAAAGTGTCAAGAAGCTAAAATTAAAACCTAAAATTATCATGTTGCACCTCATCCTCCATCTGTCGGTTATTCTGGCTGTCTAAAATAAACCCAATGTATTTCACTTTGTGTTGTAGAAATTCAACGCTCACTCAAACATAATGAAAACAATTCAGATTGTCTTTGTCCAAGACCATTCAGTACCATATAGATTATAAAAAAACAATCTATCAAGATTACTAAAAAAATATTTTCCTTCATATATATCTATGTTTTAAATATTTTGGGAGAGCAGAGTGAAACTGAACTCAACTTCCTTGTTTGTGCCCATAAAACCTGGTGGGTGAAGCTGATTCAGATTCTGAAAAGAAGATGAGGTTTTATTGCATTTTGGGCTTAGAATAAGACTTAATCCTCTTGATAGTAGGTATCAAACACACTGCTACCAGAGATGAAGAAGAAAAAGAAAAATAGTTTACTGCTAGGTTGTGAACAAGTAACTTCTCTCCCTGCAGAGAATCAAGGATGTGCTGAATTGATTTTAACAACTTTCATGTGCTTGCAGCGTCCAGTTTGCAGCTGTGCCCTGGAGGTACATGCATGTTTCGGACTAACACTCGGTATTGACGGAAAATCAATCTTAAGAGACTCAAATTTGTTTCAAAGGGACGGCTTTTGAGCCATCCTGATAGGACATGTTTGGACTGGATTTTAGTTTGGTTGTCCAGTCATAAAACACCTGACTTTAAAACATTGTTTTGTTTTGGGTCCATATAGACTGGGTGAATTGACCTTGGGTGGAGTTTGCAATACATAAAGGAATGCTGAGTAGCCTATTACATTCCATTTCACCCTTTGAGTTAACAGTTTAAGTCAATCTTTCAAAGATGACACATATTTTATTAGTAATTGACCTCTACTTAGCAGCTCTGCTGTGATGTATTTAATTAAACTTTGCATAACTGTCTCATAGACTTTGAAGAAAAGGCAGTAGCTCCTGACTAAAACATGCCAACAGCTCAATTTGGAGTAAATTTCCAACCTTGTTGGTCAGGTGCAGGATGTCTTTTGTTAAAAAAGACTAAAAAAAAAACAACAACAACCTAGTTCTTGCATAATTAGATTGGAGTGTGAATCACCGCTTTCGTTGAGGAATCGGGCGGGGAGAAGAGGCGGCTTTGAAAGGAAAGTGTTAAAGTTAATCAGACTCCGAATTTCTCTTAGACTAATTCGCGGAATCATCGCGTAATGAGGCTCCCGCTCTTTCCTTCTATCTTCTGATCTGTATGCATGAAAGGGCTGCTGGCCACAAGGGACGAGGGAAGGCACATTGCCGCGTGTGGAACAGCAGCTCTGACGATTACGATGACAGCTTTTTGGGTCTCACGAGA